CAGTGTGTATACAATACAGCCCAACGACCAGACGTCCACTTCATAGCTGTGGCCCTTTTTGAAGAGCACTTCGGGCGCGATATAGTTAGGAGTGCCGCAGAGCGTCAGTTTGCGGTCGCCTTCGCACACAATCCTTGTGGCCAAACCGAAGTCTCCCACTTTGATCTCCATGTTGTCGTTGAGGAACAGATTGCCTAACTTGAGATCCCTGTGCACTATCCGGTTGTCGTGCAAATACCGGCACGCGTTGGCGATCTGTCGCACGTAATACCGCACCTCAGACTCCGCCAGTGTTTTACGCCTTTTATGCATTTCCATCAACGACTGCAGAGTTCATTGCATTCAAACAAAACCATACAAACCATAGGTTAGAAACGCTTTGCCATACATTTCACGCAAATCATGAAAACAATAATAAAAGAGAGAAGACTCACTCGTTTGCTGCAGAGCTCCAGAATTATATAAATGAAATCCTTGTCCTCGAAGAATGTGACGAACTCGACCACGTGCTGGTGTTTGATCGACCGGTGGATTGTTATCTCTTGAGTCATCTGATTGTCGGGCAAACAGTTATACAGTTATAGAGATAGGGATCTAATGATCTAATCGGTGGCAATCAAAACGGTTCTCTTTGGAGACATACCTTTTCCTTTTGGTCGGGTTTCACGAGTTGTGACTTTGCGATCACTTTTCCCGCATAAATGGTTCCGTCGGATGTGTCGATCAATTCATAGCATTTGGCGAAACCTCCCTATAAGACAACAAAACAAAATGCATACCATTTCAAGGATCAGTTGGTGGTGACAATGGAGTGGTCAACGTCCGCAACACTTACCCGTCCCAAGAATTTTCCCTTTCGGTACTTGCGGTTGGTCTTCGTATCGCAGACCAGATCCGGTATATCGATCTTCGCGATGTCGTTACGGCGAGACATTGTCCACAACTCTGGCGGCGATTACAACGACAATAAAAGCGGTAAAAAGTTGCCACAAATGGACGTAAAAGACAATCAAATGTTATAATAAAAGAGTAGTTTTTCAAAACACAAAACACAACGACTTTTAAACTTTTGAAATCACATTCACTTTGAATGAGAGATGAGTTGAATGAGAGAGAAGTGAATGAGAAGTGAGTGGAGAGGAAAAGACGGTTACAATACGACCGCTGTTTAAAAGTCTGGGTAATGACTGTAAGACTCAAAAAACTGTTGCACTCTTTAAACGAGTTTTTGAATTTTGTGCAAAACTTCACACAAACTCTTCATATGATTGAACCATACAATGACTCACAGCCTCTCACACTCTCTCTCAGCCTATTGTCAAACACTCGTGAACTCAGACACTGGGAGTCCAATCACAGCCCACACAATGTCTATGAACTCAACGAACCAGTGATGGACTGTAGGGTTGGAGTGAGTGTTGGCTTTGAGTCAACGGACAACAAGTATTTCAAATATTTAAATCTCGTTCGCGTCTCAAACGGCGCATGCGTTCAGTGTTTAAAGGTTTTTGAACGCCAGGCGAGGCGTTGCCATAGAAACGGACGCCTATTTGGCAACAATACAATTGTGCGGACATTATTTGTGGCCAAAAATGATTGAATGCTTTTCAATGCATAACACGTTTTGATGGCAAGCATTGCCTCAATATTATTAAACGCAACGCTATTTTTAAACACATGTTTTTCCCCTAAATTTAGTCCCAAATTAAGACTTGAAATGAGTTTTGATTTCCTAATTGATGTGTTGTTGTGTTGAGAGTCCTATTGTATTGTCAGTGCCTCTCATTGTTGTTCACATTCTCGCAAACATATGATTATATTTTGCCATTAAATGACACTTTGCTTTGAAGACCAGTTTTTGTCAGTTTTTAGGCCACAAATGCTTTCATAATTGGTCTCAAATAAAGTGATTATAATTACTCTCTAAGTGTTGTATTGTATTGTGTTTTTTGGCATTAAATATACGGACAAAATATGGATAAAAATAGTGACAAACAATTGAATGACACGAAAGTGGTTCACAAGAAGAAGAAAAGATA